GTTTTTCAATTTAAATTAATTAAAGTTGAAAAGTCAATTCCTCAATTGTACTAAGCACATTTCAAGTGCTCAATAGCCATATACAGGGAGCTTCCATAACAGATAATGAAGGTCTTAAACTAAATAGCTTCTAAGGTTTAAGGACAATTAAACCACACACTTGTCTCCCCAATGAAAAGCTTTCTCTCCATCAGAGGCTCACTAGCTCCCTAGAGCAGAGGTAGAGTCTATTCACTACTGGCTCTATAGCACATTGCAAATCCCAAGTGTTGAAAATATTTGTTTACTGAATAACTGAAGAGATAAGTAGCTACTTACTGGTTAAAATAACTTTTAAAGCATCTCCCGGTCTACAATTCCGTGGCTCTAAATGTTTATAATATGAATCTGTACTACTGAATTAGGCACCTCAGTAAGAATCTAAAGTGTATTCAAATGTTTTTTGCCATCGCATACAGGTGGGGAATCTGTGGCCTTCTGATTTCAAGATTTTTCATTTTCAAGCACCAAAGGAGGCAAGAAAACCTTCATCTTTCTCTGCTGTACACCTTTTAATGAAGGATTTGTTCTGTAAAATTTGGATTCAGTCCAAAGGTCACATTCAAGGATTCAGAAGGCCACATGTGCCCCAAGGCCACAGGTTCCCCACCCCTTGAGTCCAAGACAGTCACCTTTCATAGACGTCACTTTGTGTGGGCTACTTCTGACACTGGGCACAGACCCTGCGAAGTGTCCAATTGTCTTCCTTTTGTAGATAGTTTCTTTCTAAACTCACAGACCTCCATCTTCCCTCATCCTTACGTAAAGTCCTACTTTCTTTCTCCTGCAAACTATCTTATATGAAGTCAAAATACTTCCTGGATGTCACAGTTCACATTTGAAATAAAGTAATGTAATAGCCAACTGTTTTGTTTATATTTCAATTATAAAATTCACAAGTCTTACTCCTTTCTACACTAGACATTACCTACTAAGTCATATTACAATGTTTTTAAAATTATAAGCAATTTTAAAATTATAAGCAATTATAAGCGAATGCCTTCTTGAATTCATTAGAAAATCAATAAGGTAAAATAAGCGTAAAATAAACACAAAATTTTATACTTGCCTATTGTGAATGACTTGTAATTCTGGAAGAAGTTGGTTTTTAAACCACTGATCAAAATCAACACTGTCAAACAGCTCATAAGCAGCTAATCCAACAGCATTATACACTAAGAAGAAAATTTAAGAAAAAAATTAAAGATTTCAGATACTGGGCCATAATATACATAAGAAACGAAACCAAAGGGACTACGTTGAAACACTAAGTTACTTCATTCCATGTTTTTCCTAAATACTCCTTAGTACTTTCAAACAAAAAATTAAATTTATTCTGAAATATTCAAGTCAAATTATTAAAATTATAAAATAATATCTGCTTCTAAATGGATGCAATATTTTATAATCTGGTCCCTGCTTACCTCCAGCCTCATCTCTCACCATAACCCCTTAACCTCTATGTTCTAGTTAAACCAGAATAGTCACTAATCAAACTCTAAATGTGCTTACTCCTCTCACCTTCAAGTCTTTAAATGTACTACTCCAACCCCTGGAACCCCCTTCCCATCCAACACCTCTCCCCTCTCCCCAACACAGCTAACTTCTACTTATCCTTCCACATGTTCTCACATTACACTTCTTTAGAAGTCTTTCCCTAGGCACACCAACTAAGTTTAAGTTTAACATACCAGCATCTTTAATTAACAGTGCATTCATATCTTCCACATTTGTGGGCCCTAAAAAATAAGTAT